AAACCGGGCCACAATAAATTCGGGTTCGGGCCGGGCTTACCCGTTCGGGTTCGGGCCATTGTCTACTCATTTTCTTCCCTCTCATTTGGCTTTTCTTACCTGTGCATTTTACGTGATGTAATCGATTACGATATACTCGTAATCGATTACAACATATGAAAAGCATTAGTTTTTGCTGTTTTTTAAACAGTGTAATCGATTACACAATCCTGGTAATCGATTACATGCTGATAAACTAATCAGACCTGTGCATTTTACATGATGTAATCGATTACAATATACTCGTAATCGATTACAACACATTAAAAGCATCAGCTTGGGGAGAAACAGAGCATAACAGCAGCATTCATGCCGACATTCATGCATTCATGCCGACATTCATGCATTCATGCCGACATTAATAATTTGGGGAGAAACAGAGCATAACAGCAGCAACAAAATTCAGTGTCATTTTAAAAAAGGAAAATGAGAAAATTAGTAATTGCATAAAATTTAGAAACAATACCTGATAAAGAAACAAAGTGTTGGTAATGCTTAGAGGTGCAATGAAGTGATGAACTGAGTGAGAAAAGGTTGAAGAAAGGGTTGAAGAAAAGTTGAAGAAAATAGAAAGTTGAAAAGTGAATGAAAACCTAGAAAAAAGGGTTATGTCGTGTACTTGTGGTTACTGGGTAAAAAAGCTGAAAAATACATATATGTAATCAAAACCGGCCGGTTTTACCCGGTATAACACCCGTGCCGTGCCGGTTAGGGGACCGGTTCGCCGGTTTTCCGGTCGAACCGGCCAGTTTTCCGGTCGAACCGGCCGGTACGGCACGGTTTTCAAAACACTAGTGTGGAGTTCTCTATAGTAAACAATTAAATTGTCTTTTAGTTTCGTTGTAAAATTTATTTTATTTATTATGTTTTTGTTGTATAAGTTAAATCTAATTAAATATATAATTAAGAAAAGAAAAATGAAATCTATATGGTTTAATGTTCTCATTTAATTTGATGCACTATTTTGCTAATGTGCTTAAAAGGATATTAATCAAAATATGAAAAATAATATAATGCTTAACTTGATAACATTATTGTAGTTTATAAAGGGTAGAGATGCACTTACTCAAAGAGTAAGTTTTTTATACTTACTTCACATCTTAGCCATCAATTCTAGGGAAATCCAAATGTTTGAATTAGTGAGTAGATCTAAATCATTGGATTCCCCAAAAATTGATGGTTAAGATGTGAAGTAAGTTTAAAAAACTTACTCTTTGAGTAAATGAATCCCTCATCATTTATAAATATTTATGTTATAGATTTTACTCTATTTTTTATTCAAAGTTCATAACACAATATTTATCATATATTATCTATTTTTATTATAAGTTATTTTCTAAAATAATTTCACATTAAGCTTATTACCAAGCCATGGGTCCCAAAAAAAGGTTTTAATAAGGAAAAATGGGTAGCCTGAACTCGCCTGGGTAAGCTCGGTCGGTCTGAGCTAAAAGGTTCAGATTCACTAAAAAGTGTCAAATATAATACCCAAACCCTACAAAATTTCGGATTGTGGCGGGTCGGCCTGCATAAGTCCGCCCATTTTGACACCTCTAAGTATGACCCACGATTTAACGATGTGTAAAGTAATAATTGAGTGTCTACAAATATGATGTATTAGGATTGTCTCCAACCAATTCTATCTCTATATGCATTTATTTTCCCATTTGACAATTCAATCAAGTAGATAACAAGGGATTTTGAAGGAGGATATAAAATCATGAAAATTAAATTATAAAAGACAGAAGGGTAACTTTATCTAGATAGAAGAATACTCTCCTCATCATCATCATGTTACAAGCCTCAAAACTCAAAAGTCCATTTGTACCCAAAATTCTGGTTAGAAATTATATCAAATACAATTATGCGAAATGGCCAAAAAGAAGAATTTTGGTAATACGTACAAAATAAGATTTGGATGCATAACCCCCAAGAACGTCTTATAAATTCCACGACATTATAATCTCTTTTCGTGACCATGAGTCTTATTTCCATTACATTACGCATTATTAATGACTAATAACTTGATTAAGTTCCATCCCTTTCTCCAAACAAAGACCACTTTTACACACATAATGGTAGGTATGTGCCTTATATTATTTCACTACAATTACAGACATTTTTCCTTCACTTAATTGGGTAATGCTAGGAATCTCCATTGCATATCAAACCAGTCCTTTCAAATAAGTTATTATTTTTGTTCTTATTTTTTTTAAAGATACAAGAGTTAATTACACTGACATCCCTGAATTTTAGTGAAATTACACAAATTGTCCATCTTTTTTTTGTCATTATCCGAACCACATATCTCTCTTACACAAACCTCATCTAATTTTATATATACATTACATTGATTACCCATGCATGAGATACAAGTGTAATCTTTTAAACAAAAAACCATGTGGTGAATGTAATTAAGTTAAAAAATATATTATATATTGTGTAGACAATTCCAAATAGTACAAGAGTGAATATTTCTTTATTATTTTTATTTCATTACAAAATACATTAATAAGATATTTATATAACTATTATATTATTTTGTAACGAACCAAATAATGAAGAGTATGAATTTTTATATTATTTGAATTTGTCTATACAATATAAAATATGTTTTTTAACTTAATTACTCATGTTACACGTTTTTGTTTAAAATATCACATGTAGGGGTGATTCGTGTAAGAGAGAATAGTGGTTTGAGTAAAGAAAAAAGAAATTGTTGGTTTTTGTGTAATTTCACTAAAAGCAGAGTATATATGATTATAATTAATTTAAGATATTATTTTTTAGATTACTCCCTTCTCTAATACCGTAAAGTATCTTCAGTCGTTACAATTGGGACAACATCGATTATACATGGAATGGGACAACATATATTTTCCCATTGCAATTATACAAACGTTGAATAAAACAATACTCTATAATTACATCTACGTCTCATCATTGAAAACAAACTTAGAAGCTAACAATGGCACACGAACTATAACATCATAAAGCAATATGTCTTCAGTATTTTTCGTGCATATATATAGTTTCAGTAATGATTTCTATCAGCACAATGATCAAAAGAGCTTTAGCAATGGCCATGACATCTACCCCATATTCATATTTAAAAGTAAAACAGCTTAATCCTACTAGACAAATAATTAGATACAACATGATAAAATAATAGGTTAATAATGCTTTGCTTTGAACTCAAGGTATATAATTGGTTGTTACCAAATGGATCCAATTTTTTAACTCGACTAGCGATTCAAAAGTATCGCTGCTTATTACTACCTCTAAGTTTCTAATTGCTAATACTTTATATCAAACTCAAGAAAAAAATATATTTGAGGATTAGTAAGCTCATAATTAGATGTATTATTACCTAAAACATAGTGTGGTGAGAAAAAAGGGCACAACCCATAACTAAGCATGCAAACATGCAATGTGTGGTTGATGTTATACATAGTAGATCATAAGTTTAGATAAAAGATGAAAGTTGTGCTAGGTAGTCGACTATCAATATAAAACTTTGTCAAATCTCTGATACATATAAACAATATGATTATATTAATGCTAGGTCATTGCCCAAAAATAACACTCTATCGCCAAGATTGTAAATTGAGCAAGGGCTATGTTAAGTGCCATGTTATGATTAAATTGCATATGATTTGGGGCACTTATGGGAGAAAATCGATGAAAATATTGACCAAACTCTAAAGAATCTAGTGTAATTAGCTTGACCTAGAAAACTTACACAATTTTTGTCAATTGCAGGTTAATGGTGATTGGAAAAGGTGAAAATTGAAAGAAATTGAGGAAAAGCTCAAAAGCCATACCTACTGAAGAATTTTCTCTCAAGCGAGGGACTCTCGCCCAAGCGAGAGACATCTGCCCAAAAGCCCCACATACTGAAGAATTCTCGCCCAAGCGAGAGACGAATTTCCAAGGGCCAACCATACTGCCAGATTCTCGCTCAAGCGAGAGACATTTGTTCAGATACATTACAACTCTCGCCCAAGCGAGAATTTCTAGCTTGAGCGAGAAACCAAAAGTCTGAATCAGATATAGGCGGTTTTCTTTCTTTTGGGGAGTTAGCTTTTGCCATTATTGAGTATTTTATGAGTTTTCTAGAGAGAGAAGCACAGAGGAGAAGGAAGAAAGTCGTGGGAACGACTCTAAGCCTGGATTCTCGTAGTTTTACGCATTTTCAATATTGTAATGTGTAGAATGAGCGACTAATTTCTCAGTGTTGTGATTGAATGTAATCTTCTAACTCTTGTATTCTTGGATTCAATTTAATTTATATCTAGTTATTTGATTTTGGAAATCTTATTCTTTGCTCAATGATTGATTCTAATTAGCTACAAGAATCTTGATCTTGTATCCATGTTTAACTGAGAAGTGAAACCTGTGATTGAATCTAGATAATTTTTCTTGATACATCATTGATCTAGGAATAGACAATGATGTATGAATTGCTTATACATCGGGTTTAATGCTAGATAATTTGTTAAATAACCAAGGGATTGGAATTTGATGAATTATCTAAGGATCCAACAAAATGGAAAATACAAATACTCCTCCTGGAAATATTGAGAGGACTAATCCTTCAAGAAGGACTTTGGGTGATTATGCTATGTACCAAGGTCCAAGGCATTATTCCAGCATTGTCATTCCACACACTGCAAGGATAGTGGAAATCAAGCCAGCTTTTCTGAATTTGATCAGTGCACATCAATTCTCTGGGAAAGATTATGAAGATCCATATGCACATTTGGACAACTTCTACGAATTGGTGGCAACTATGGGTACAATGATAATGAAATAGAAGCTACATACATGATGTTGTTCCCATTTTATTTAGTTGGTGAAGCTAGGGAATGGTTAAAATCTCATCCAACCCAAAGCTTAACCAATTGGAATGATATGGAATCAAAGTTCCTAACACAATTTTTTCCACCAGCTCGGTATGTGCATGCAAAGTTCGAAATATCAAAATTCTGACAAGGTGCCGATGAAGCCTTTTGTGAAACTTGGGAGCGTTTCCAAGTGCTGCTCAGAAAATGTCTTAATCATGTTTTTGAGGATGTAGATCAACTCAACATATTCTGCAATGGGCTGAAATCGGAAACCAAAAAGATTATAGATGCAGCAGCAGGTGGAACAATGATGGTTGTTGATGCTGAACAAGCTACAAGGATAATCACTGCCTTATCATCAACAAATAGGCAAGCATAACATAATCGGTGGGCAGTACAGAAGAGAGGAATGTTGGATCTGAATACTTCTGATGCTATTCCGGCACAAAACAAAATTCTAACACAACAAATTGAAGCACTGACAAACAAAAGTCCAAGTTGCCTCAACAATTGCATGCTGTGCAATCTACTCCGAGTCAACAATAGGTGTTGAGATGTGAGTTTTGTGGAGGTGAGCATGCAGCTGGTCATTGTGCAATTCCTAGTAATAATCAGGAGGAAGAAGTACAGTATATCAACAATCCACCTCGATAGGACAATTTTCCCAACAACTCTTCATGCAATGGTCAATTCTCACAAGGTTGGAGGGGTAATCAGAATCAGAAACAAAATTACGGTTGGAGGCCAGATTCAGGACTATCAAACAGACAACCACCTTATCAGCAAACATTCCAACAAAGTCCGCATCCACCAATGCATGAAAGACAAACTAAACTGGAGGATACCTTAGAAAAGTTCATGCAAGCTTCAATGACTAACCAGAAAAATACCGAAGCATCTATCAGAAATCTGGAAACAAAGGTGGGTCAGTTGGCAAAACAGATGGCATAGCAGAGTTCAAATGGTCGACAGTTCTCATCTAACAGTCAAACCAATCCCAATACCACTCGGAGTGGAAAGGTGATTAGTCTAGATGTTGGTAAGAATTTAGAAGTAGAGGAGGAAGTGCTTAAAGATGAAAAGAGTGAGGGAGAAAAAAAGGACTCTGGAGAGAACACAGAAAAAGAAAAATAAATTAGTGAGCAGGTAGAGTAGAAGAAGAGTGATCTGCCACAACTGAAGAGTCTTCTGTATCCGAAGAATACTTCCAAGAAAGATAAGGAGAGATAATATACAAGGTTCATGGATATATTCAAGAGCCTTCAGATCAACGTACCTTTCACGAAGGTTATGGAATAGATGCCTACTTAAGCTAAATTCATGAAGAATTTATTGATAAAAAAGAGGAAGTTTTATGAGGAGACTGTGACAGTGGAAGCTGGATGCAGTGCAATTATTCAGAAAAATTTATAGGAAAAATCTAAGGATCTGGGAAGTTTCACAATACCTATCACTATTGGAGAACTATCTGTGGGAAAGACATTGCTTGATTTGGGTGCTAGCATCAATCTAATGCCTTTGTCTATGTTACGAAGAATTGAAGATTTGGAAGTCAAGCCTACAAGGATGACTCTGCAGCTTGCAGATTGATCAACGAAATATCCTTATGGAGTTGCAGAAGATGTCTTGGCCAAGGTGGATAAGTCGGTCTTTCCAGTTGATTTTGTGATTATGGACAATGAAGATGATATTGAAGTTCCATTGATTTTGGGGAGACCTTTTATGAAAACTGCCAAGGTGATTATTGATGTTGATGATGGCAAGTTGAAGGTCAGAGTGCAGGACGATGAAGTGAATTTCAATGTCTTTGAGGCAATGCATCATCCGAAAGATAAACATCAATGTTTCAGGGTGGATGCCATGGATGAAATGTATATGAAGAGGGATATGTATGTTCATAATAGCAGTGCTTTGGAGAAAGCTTTGAATGGTCAACTTGAAGGTCGAGATGCAGAAGAGGAGGTGTGCATTGAGAAGTGTGTAGCAGAGTTGGATATACTCAGAGAGATTCCCTCTCAGAAGGTTCCAGTTGAGGAATTGTCTGAAAATCCAAATTCAAAAATTCCGAAATTGGAACTAAAAATGTTACCTTCACACTTGAAGTATGAATTTTTAGAGAATGGAGACAATAAACCAGTGGTAATCAGTAGCACTTTATCAATTGAGGAAGAAGGATAACTGCTTGAAGTGTTGAAAGCAACCAAATGGGCTATCGGTTGAACGTTATCAGATTTGAAGGGGATTAGTCCTTCTTATTATATGCACAAGATACACATGGAGCAGGATTACAAACCGGTTGCACAACCTTAGAGGCGTCTGAATCCTACAACTAAAGAGGTAGTAAAGAAGGAGGTCATGAAGCTTCTAGATGTGAGAATGATTTTTCTCATATCTGATAGTGCATGGATGAGTCCGGTTCAAGTGGTTTCGAAGAAGGGGGTATGACTGTAGTGAAGAATGATAAGAATGAGTTGATCTCTACCAAGACAGTCACAGGCTGGATAATGTGTATTAACTATCGGAAATTGATCCAGGCAACCAGGAAGGATCATTTTCCTTTGCCATTCATGGATCAGATGATCAAGAGATTGGCTGGTTGGCCAAGCATTTTATTGCTTTTTGGATGAATATTCCAGATATAACCAGATCACAGTCGACCCAAATGATCAGGAGAAGACCGCTTTCATATGTCCATTTGGGGTCTTTGCTTATAGGAAAATGCCATTCGGATTGTGTAATGCACCAGCTACTTTTCAAAGGTACATGCTAGCCATCTTCTCAGATCTGGTGGAACAATGTATTGAAGTATTTATGGATGACTTCTCGGTTTTTGGGTCATCATATGAGTGTTTCTTGGCAAACCTGGATATAGTGCTGAAGCGATGCATTGAAACCAACTTGGTGCTAAATTGGGAGAAATGTCACTTCATGGTGACCGAAGGAGTGGTCTTGGGGCATAAAATCTCTGCTCGAGGTATTGAAGTGGACAAGGCTAAAATTGAAGTCATCAAGGAGCTGCCACCGCCAACGAATGTCAAGGGAATGAGAAGTTTCCTTGGGCATGCATGTTTTTATAGACGTTTAATAAAGGATTTTTCAAAAATTGCAAAACCACTCAGTAATTTACTTAAAAAAGATACTACTTTTAATTTTGATACTGAGTGTTGAAAAGCCTTTGAAATGTTGAAACAAAAACTTATTTCTACTCTTGTCATAGTAGCTCCTAACTGACATTTAGATTTTGAACTAATGTGTGATGCTAGTGATTATGCAGTCGGAGCTGTACTAGGGCAGCGAAAATCTAAAGTTTTCCATGCAATTCATTATGCTAGCAAAGTTTTAAACGAGGCACATGTTAACTATGCCACACTAGAAAAGGAATTGCTAGCAATTGTGTATGCATTGGAAAAATATAGATCATACTTGATAGGATCTAAAGTCATTATATTTTCAGATCATACTGCTATCAAGTATTTGCTAACCAAATCGGATTCAAAATCGAGATTGCTTCGATGGGTTTTGTTATTGAAGGAATGTGATATAGTTATCAAGGACAAAAAATGAAGTGAAAAATGCGTAGCAGACCATCTATCAAGGTTGGTGAATCAGGAAGTGACGAGCAGAGAACTCGAGGTGGTGGAAGAGATTCCCGATGAAAAAATCTTGGTGTTACAAGAGAGGCCATGGTTTGCTGATATGGCCAACTTCAAAGCTATAGGGGTGCTCACAACTGAGTTCAATTGGCACCAAAGGAAAAAGTTCCTTAGAGATGCCCGTCAGTACATTTGGGATGACCCTCATATTTTCAAGATTGGGTTTGATGGATTATTGAGGCGGTGTGTCTCTTCGACAGAAGCAAAAATCATTCTCTAGCATTGTCACCGCTCACCATATGGAGGACATTTCAATGGAGAAAGGACAACTGCTAAAGTCATTCAATCAGGCTTCTATTGGCCTTCATTGTTCAAGGATGCTTATCAATTTGCTCAACAGTGTGACAAATGTCAAAGGACAGGCAAGATTTCCAAAAGAAATGAAATGTCGTTGTCTAATATTCAGGAGATTGAGGTCTTTGACTATTTGGGAATAGACTTTATGGGACCATTTCCACCGTCGCATTCACACATGTATTTATTTGTAGCGATGGATTATGTATCCAAGTGGGTGGAAGCCATAGTTGCATCAAAGGATGATGGCAACACCATGGTGAAATTCTTGAAAAGGAATATATTCAGCAGATTCGGCACACCACGGGTTCTAATTAATGATGGATGATCACACTTTTGCAATGCACAACTTCAGGAGTTCCGTCAACATTATGGAGTCCGACACAAAGTCGCATCTCCTTAACATCCGCAAACAAATAGACAAGCAGAAGTGTCCAACAGAGAGATTAAAAGAATCCTGGAGAAGATAGTCTCCACATCAAGAAAAGATTGGTCTCTCAAGCTTGATGATGCACTATGGGCTTACAGAACATCATTTAAAGCACCAAAAGGGTTATCTCCTTATCAGCTGCTCTACGGAAAAGCATGTCATATTCTGGTGGAGCTTGAACACAAATCATTTTGGGCTTTGAAGTATTTTAATATGGACCCAAAGCCTGCTGGTGACAAAAGGAACTTACAATTGCACCAATTGAAAGAGATGAGGCTCAATGCCTATGAATCCTCAAAGCTATATAAGGAGAAGGTCAAGATGTATCATGATAAGAAAATCCGGAGGAAGGATTTCCAACCAGGTCAATCAATGTTACTGTTCAATTCCTTGATGAAATTATTTTCGGGCAAACTTAGATCAAAGTGGTAGGGACCGTTCCTGGTGAAACAAGTAAAGTAGCATGGAGTGATTGAATTACAAGATCCTGCATCACAAAGGAGTTGGATAGTAAATGGCCAAAGACTCATACCGTATTCGGGTGGTGAAGTCGAAAGACTTACCACAAGCATCCACCTAGCTGATCCTAAGAAGGCATGAAAAACAAGCGTTGAGCTAATGACGTTAAACAAGCGCTAACTGGAAGGCAATCCAGCTTTTATTGTTTTGTTTGAAATTTTTTTACTGTTTTGGCTTTGTGTGTTAAAAAAAAGATTTGCTCACTACCCAATTTTCGCCCAGGTGAGGGCACCCTGGCTCAAGCGAGCCAATCTTCAAAGGGCCTGAGACATTGTCGCCCAAGCGAGAAAATCTTTGCTTAGGCGAGGAACTCAGGTTCCAAATTC